TCTGCTTTTCTCAAAAATGGAAGGCAGATCTGGAACTTAAAAAAAATCTGAAACTGTGACCAGACATAAGGTCTGGGGTTTTTTTTGACCAGACAAAGGCCAAAAAAAAGTTTTCCCATCTAGGGTTCTAGTTCTATCTTGTCCACAAATCTGCCTCTGGCAAGGCTCCTACTAACTAATTTGAAGAAACACATATTAAACAAACTGCTAGACAGGTAAGGGATAAGAAAGCAACACTATGGAATACTTCCTTTTAATTTCCGATACTTAAAAATTAGCAGATGCTCCAAAGCTTAAGCTTTTAAGTGTATTTCAGGTTTATTGTGTGATTGGATTTTTTTGTCTGTTTGTGGGTTTTTTTCTTTTTTTTTTAAATAGAAATGATAAATACATGTTTCAATGAAATCTACCAGTGCATTTTACTTCAGTATTTCTGAACAAGCCCTTTTCATTGTTTCAAAGGTATAATGTTCTTACATTGCAAAAAAAAGAAGCAGAAAATCCTGATGTGCATTTTCTATAGTCCTACTGTTATTATCGCTTTTATTTCTTTTCCTACTTGTGTAGTTCAAGCAGCTACTGGACACAGAGCCCCTATGGCACTTTCCATAGTGATATTAAACATTGTCCTGCCTTGCCTTCCCCCTCATCCAAAATTCATACAGAACTTCAAAAAACATGCATATAATCTCTAAGTGGGAGTGATAAAAATAAAGTCATGGCAACAATTTCAATCTGAGGTCACATCTTTTACTTCATACCCCATATGGCAGCTCCAACATTTGAAAGAACAGAAGGAAAAAGACTGGGCATGTGTAACACTGGTATCATCACTAGTAACAAACCTATAAAACCGAAGTCTGGAATAAAATAACAAGAAAACTGAAAGAGTATCCTGTTTTACTCCAGTTCCTGCAAGACAGACTTTTCTGACTACTCTACTGGAGTACTACTGTTTAAACACAAGACTTGCATTAACCCAATAGAGACACAGAAATCAACTGCCAGTTTCCGGTATTGTCCCACTTCAAGTTCACTGTCCCATCTTCAAATTTAACAAATTAAGTATCCTCAAAAGGCAAATTTTTTTAAGTTGCTTTTCAAAAACAAGTCCTATCATCTGCAAAGTTAAATAACAGTTAAAATCCCTTTCATGGTATTTGATACAAAAGCCTATTCTTGGAAACTTGTAGCAATAAAGTTGAACGATTCCAAACTTCAACTGGTTCTAGGAAATTTAATTTTATAGAAAAAGCAGATGTTGTTCTACTTCACCAACTCCAGCCACTCAGAATGCATAGCTGACCTGCTTCCTACCCAGACGTTGACTATCAAGAAAACGTATTAACTTATCTGGAAGGCTTAAGAAAAACAGTAGGATCTGTGAAGAACGACCAATGGACAATAGCAGAAGCTAGTAAAAGACAAAACAGTCCAAAACACAAGCTCAACCTGACAGTCCAATTCTCTTAAAGAAATAACCTTCAAAAAAAAAATAAAAAAGGTAATTTGAAGCCCCTTACTATGAGGCCTGCAAAGGCACTGAGAAGGTAGGACAGCATGTTTGTACCAGATGCTCCACTAGACAAAGAATCCTGCTGACACAGGCCTAAGGACCCCCTCCTCCCATCCCCATTCTTTTGATCCCATGTCATCTCTTATGATTGCCTGTGCTTTGCATGAGAAGACCCTCCTTTCACACTTAGTTCTTTCCTAGATTTTAAAGTTAAATTCTCCTAACGCAAAACTGTTCTAAAGTCAAATACGCAGACTTGGAGGATCAACATCTGAGCCACAACAAGACTTCACCGTCATTTAAGTGGTGTAGCTGAAGACCTCAAGCCCACTTCAAAGATGTTAGATCTGAGTCTTGTTCTTATCTTTAACTTGGAGCACTCAGGTTTTAGACCCAGCCTACTCCACAGCCAGGTATTCTGACAGGGACTATTATCTGATGCATTAGTCTTAAAAGCCTGCTCCAAGAAAGAATCCATATTAACTGCATCCTTTTATTTTCTGTTTAAAAGCATGAATGCAATACTTGTAAGGGGAATTGGGTAAGTCAGTAGGTGTGTTTGCCTAAAACAATTTCTTCAAACTGATCCTCCTTCCTCTCTCTTCTCTAGCCACACTATTTTTAAAAAAAAAAAAAAAAAAAAAGGTATATGCACACCTACTAGAGAAAATAAAGATGAATGCAAAGCTACCATCTGATGAGGAACATAGAGAGCCATAAGGGCTGTCTCCCTGGAAGCTGCGAATTCAGAAGCAATAAGGACAAAGACTCTTCAAACCTTCTGTTTCTGAATACTGAAACAGAAGAGTATGTTTGCACATACCAATTCAACAGCTTTATTGTTTTCAATAGTTCTTCAGATTGGTGAAAGTGGCAGTATCAAGGAAGAAATGAATTTCTCCTTCATTTTCAATCAGCATTAGTATCACTGTAATAATCAAAAGCTTCAACATTACAAAGATGAATTCACCTAGGATTGCTTCTGAAAGTGTTAGTAGTCAAAAAATAGTGAAAACTAAGCCCTTATATTAAAACACAGCGATAGAAAAGAGCATCGTGATCCTCAGGGGGAAAACACCCAACAGGATTTTCAACCTATATTAACCACAGAAAGGTAAACTTCTGAGTCATTCACATGCTATTTAGGGTCACAGCACACATTTGTTGAGAATCTCCACATGATAAATAAATGCAAGGCTCAGTAAGTTAGCTCTGTCAAACAGATTTTTTTCTTCTTTACTGGAGTGACTTAAGGAGGTCACAAGTGAGAAAGCAACAGGAATAAGATTTTGTATTTTCTTGGCTCAAATGATAAAAACATAAACCACAATACAATGTGTACAACTTAAGATTTCAAGGAAAACTCCTTCAAGCTCAACAGCAGCTAGCAGCTTGTCTCTATTTGCCGTCACTCTAGATCAGAAGAGCCCACATGCTTTTTTTTTTTCCCTTTCCTGCCCCTTTCAGTTACACTTGAGCTCTTTGACTGAAAAGGTCTGGAACAGATTAAAAGTCCGACCACAAAATAAAGAGCCTTGGCATGTACTCAAGCCTGTCTGGGATACACATACGCAGTGGGCCCAAAAAGGGAAGCTATGCAGCAAGAAACCCTTATGCAGTCTTTTGGACATTTCTAACTTCTTTCAGTTTAACTGCACAGCCTTAACATTTGATGGAGTTTCAGTATGCACAAGACAAGTAGTTTCTGCCCTTACAGTTAGACCATACTATTTACAGGAGTACAAAATAGTTCTGAGAAACAAGATTCATCTCACTCACGACCTCTGTCAATTAAAGCCTTTTCCACACTCCTTTTTAATTCCAGCTCATCATCGGAAACTATAAAGTAATAAAAAAAAAAGAAAAATACATACCCTGCAAGATTGCTTAAGTAAATATAATTGACCTGACTCTTCTAACTGCAAAAGGCAACACTGATTTTCAAAATGACTGCTTCCTTTTTGGCCTTATTCACATATTAAGTAATTGTGAAGTTGCAAATTACCCACACACTCCTCTTGCAACACGCAAACAGGTCTGCAACTCTGGCTGGTGTTAAAGCCAGCATGGACATTTGCCAAAGCTGACAACCTTCAACATACGCCCCACCTTTGGGCTCAAGTTGCACAGTGGTTCAACCTGTCTACAAACTGGTGAGCAGTTTATAAACAAAGTGTGACAACCTGGTGTTCTCCATAAGAGCAAATGGATGTTTAAGGTAAGCACTCAAGCCTACAATACAAAAATGCTGAAGTTTCTAACAGCCATTTCGGAAAAACAAAACAGAACAGCGACTGTGAGTTTTGCAGCTATGTGTTTATATGGCATTCATGGAGTTAATGCCTCTCCCAAAAGGGGCCCACAGTTGTTGTTAGGTCAACCCCTGTAAAGCTTCAAAGGCTTTGTATCCCCTCAGCCTGACCTACTCAGTGATCTGCACACTGTTTTCATTTAGTTGCACTGAGTCCAAAACTAAAGCCTGAAAACCACAATGATCTCTTTTTTTTTTTTTTTTTACCCCTACTGTTTTTTCCATGGCTCTGGAAAAATAACTAAAATCCAAAGGAGTTGAAAATAGTAAGTTACTGGGAAAACAAATCAAGGGTAAATTAATACAGCTAATAAAGCTTACACACACAGGTCATGGCTTTATACAAAAACTACAGTGGTAATACCACCTTAAATACATCAGAACAATCACTTGGGACAATCTAACAAACCAGTTCAGAGCCTCTTAATATTATATGCTATTGCTAGTCATAGTCATCAGTGCCAATATTTTATTTAAATGTTTGCAGCTCTGCTTTCTATATAGATTAAAAACATTACAAAAAATGTAAAAAAACAGTTCTGTTTTGTTAAATTTTTACATCTACACCTTGTGAACCCTAATTTACTATTTCTATTTCCAATATTAGTCTTTAGTCCACAAAAAGATTATTAAAATAGAAACAACAAAACTAATAATTTCTCTCCATATTGTTTAAAACAAAGTTTTGTCATGATCATCACTGTGACAAGCTGGAATTATAAGCTGGTATATGTCTCAAGTGTATTTTAACAGCATAAATTGTTATTTGACAATGCCCTCGTTAGGATAGAGCAAAGGAAAGTATATATTTGTTTGGGAATTAAAAGATTCTTCTGTGGTAAAGTTTTGCAATTTTAAAGGGAAGAGCGAGCTTGGCTGAAACTGTCTCTAGGGTAAGCAATTTCTGAATGCCACCAATTTTGGGAACTGTATGGATCATACAACAAAATCCCAATAACTAGCATTAGAAACTTTGGTGACATACACTCTTACAAGATATATGCTAATCCTTTTTATCTTTTTTTTTTTAAATAATTATTTAAATAAGGTCTCTATAATTCAAATGAAAATATGTTTTAATCGTACTGTAAAAAGTTTTCAAAATATGCCTGCAAAATTAAAGCTGAGTGAACTGAAGCGAATCAAAAATTCTGAAGTGAGATGAACTTTTACCAAAGCGTGGGTCAAGCCTTGGGTCTAGCCAAGATGTGGTCTTGTTCTTATGGTTTATGTAGTAAATTTCTCCATCCTGGGTCATAGCTTGTTCCCATCCATCGGGGAGTGGGCCTGCAATATAGAAGGAAGGAGTTGATGGCGGGCTCTTGTTTGCTCCAGCTGAAATTGATCTAAAAAAAATTCCAACATTTTACATATATAACAGTACATGAAACAGAAGAGTTTCAAGCTCATGTCTAACATTTCTAGGGTTAAGGGCAAAGAAGTGGCGGGTGGAAAATCAAAGAACAGAAAGCACTTCTATCATTTTGATTTAGGATTTGGAGTTTAATTTTATAACTTGTTTGCATCCTATCATATGCTTTTGACACTTCCTTTTGCTATAGCACTATAGTACAAAACCAGCAATAAGTCAAGCCTGCCAGAATGAAACCAGCATGAGCACCAGGAAAAAGAATAAGCAAAGAGATATTCTACCTTTCATGGGAAAGTTCATCTAGTGATTAATGCCCAGCAGCAGCAACAAGGTAACACCGATGACATCCTGAAATATTCCTCTATCTTTCACAATTAAAAAAAGTGACAAAACTCGTTTTCCCTTTACCTCACACCATAACCTTCTGTGAAAGCGTTAAAGGCTTAAGCAAGCAAAAACACAAACCTGAAGAACAGGAAGCAAACAAGCAATGAAAAAGTAAAGGTAAGAAGACACCAGGAGCAGACATAGAGACACAGTGCTACGAATAGCAGTGCTACGCCTCTACGAGCAAGAAGGCAGGGAAACCTACATTTAGGAAATGGTGAAAGGGAGGTAGGTGGTGGTGTTCTGGAGTCCAGAGCTAATGTCTGAACACAGAGTCTTGAGGTGTGTTTCCCTTATGTTCCAAATTGCAGCTTTCGAGAAAATCACCTTTTATCGCTATACAGTTCATAAACCACTCATTCCCATCTCTGTATGATCGTGTACATTCCTCTGTATTTTGCTTAGACTGAAAACTATTCTTAAAGTTACATTCATCTCATCTTATCTGGCAGGTACTTTACAAATATATGCTTTTGAATTCTTATACTCACATAGATATGGACTTTCAAAAAATATCTAAATTAGATACAGGAAGATCTTGCCTATATTACTTTAGATTTAAGTACAATCCTAAGATGATATAGCAAAAGATCCATTACAAATGTTAAGAATGTAAAAGAAATTAGAACAAGACTGCTGCCAGAAGCCATCAGATTTTAACCTCTCCTTCAGTGTAATATAGCGATAACTAGCAAAAGCCATCTGGCTGTTAGACTTGGGAGTAACAGACCATTCTGTATAATGTAAGATACATTAAGTATGCACAATCATAATTTCACACATGAGATTCAGACATACACACAAAAATATGTGTCTGTATCTGGTAAATGCCTGAAGTACCTACTTATTCTAGTTCAAGGTACATTAGCTCTTTGTCTGTCACTTTGTCCTGAAGTCATGCTCCACTAAAGCGGGAGGGCGGGGGGAGGGAAGGGAAGGATAGATTTGTTTGCTTAATCTCAAAAGATGTTCTTCAAGAAATGTCAAAAAGAGTAAAATAATAATTCGATTGCATTCCAATAATATCCCAAGTCATAACCAGGACAAGAATTTCTTACTGTGGTCTTTGAAGATCCCCTGCAAACTACATTTCTAATTTAAACTCTTTCATTTTGGCTCAGAAAACTCTGCCTTTCTTTAGCAACCTCACTACTCCACCATTAGAGCTAAAGGTTTTTGAATGAGGAAAAACAGTGATCTAACCATTGGACATTTCCTTCCCATCCTTAACGCTCACAAGCTTTTAATGCTGCATACGAGTACCTCAGCTTTTATCAGGGGCTAGTGAACAGAACAGGCAAGAAAGAATGACAACACTGCAAACCACTCATAAATCCTAACATATTCACAGTATAACAGGACTTCGATGCAGAATTGAAAGCTCAAGTGCAAAGAACCCTGCACTTTGTTACCATACCCAAAGTCCAGCCGGGTGATCAGTGAGATGCTATTTCATAAAACTGGGGCACAGGAGCACAGTGACATGCCCCACATCATCCAAGTGTAGAAGCCAATGAAGAACCAAAAATGTTCCTTGACTGCTAAGCCAACACCCTAACCTTGTGAGCAGACCTTCTCACTACCATTCTCCTCAGAGTCCTTCTAAGCCACACATCTCTCAGAGATGAAACTCAGCAAGAAATTATCTTTTGAACTACAAAGCCAAAAAACCCAACTGGCTCTAGGAAAAACAAAACTAGCTTTGGGGTGTCAGTCCTGCAAGTGTATACTGGTCCAGCATGTTCCTTTGTAGCAAATAAGAACAAAATGCCTTTGAAGCAGGATGCCAGGAGTTGATCAGTCCACCTACCTGGTGAAAGAATACTGCTTATTAGATTCAGTGATCTGATGAGTACTAGCTTACTAGAGACAAACCTGGGCAAGGTTCTCTTTCTAAATAAAATGCACAGCTGTGGACAGGACAGGAAAGGTCTGTTTGGTCACCTGGCTGTCATAGTAGCACGTCTTCCTTGCTAGGTGCTGCAGGAACAGAACTTTTCTCTCTAGAAACTTTTGGCATTAATCATGATGTTGCTTTCTTCCTTGGCCAGTAAACTGCTCTCGTGTTTCTGCTGTCATCCCTACATGTTGAAATGGCAGTTCAAAAATTGATTAGTACTGCTTTCTGTAATTCTTATTTGGTTTTGTGAGCACTTGTAAAACCAAAAGACTGTCAAGTCTGATTTTGTAACTGGCTGTCTGACAAACTCTATATTAGAGGCAAGTAACAGAGGAAAAATGGAAAACCATGGTGAAGAATAGCAGACACATTCACTCAGAGCATCCAGGAAAATTCCTGTGCAATTACATGTCCCTTTTCCCCCAAAAGGGTCAATAGGAACAGAATTCCCAGCATTAGCTTATGTTTTGAAGTGACTTAAGGTATATAAGCTCTATATTGCTGCTCTTCAGACCTTCTCACTAAAATTTCCATAGCTAATGTAGCCCCTGTTGTACAAAACCAGCCATGCTGGGTCTAACTAAAAGTCCATTTAGCCCAGGCACCTAGCCTGGGGTGATAGACAGATCTTACTGCTGAAAGCAGCCCATTTAGTCACTGTCAGACTCTGTAAACTTTTAAATAAAGCACTGGATACACATATAGACCCAGTAAGTATAGTGGCTATGAATAGTCACTTGGCCTCCAACTACCTCATGTGATTTCTTGAGTCAGATTCTGTCTACTTACTAGGTGCCAAAGGATCTCTCTTTCAAGTACTTTTCCAGTCTCCCCCTGAACCTTTGTGAACGTTTAGCACCAACAATATCCCTGTGGCATGGTCTCTTACCAGTTCTGCTTGATGCCTCCTAGGTCAACTGAATACGATCACAACCATAAGCTTACAATTCTACGAAATTATTTGCACAGGGAGAGACAACCCTTCTAGGGAACCCACCATTTACTGTGGTACTTTTAAAGACAAGGTTATCCAAAAATTAGATTCCAATTTCCAAATGTAAGCCATCTTTACAAAAATACTGATACGGCATACCTATGTAACTAAATATTTATATAATGCTGTAACTTAACATAAATACATGTAATTTTAAAAGTCTGTGTGCATGTCTCTGGTGCATGTCTCCATTTTTTGTGAGTTTTTACTTTCTCAATATACCATTTTTGCCATGAAACAGAGTCTTGAACGCAAAGCAGAGCTCACTGTTGGCAGATAGAAAGCAACAGAAAGAGTAACAAAAGCAAAAATGTAGTATAGATTCAAACTATGCTGGGATATAAAGTAAATCTTGCAGTCCCTACAGTTTGATACATAATTGTAAACTAAATGTAAATAAAGCTGTATTTTATCACAAGGTTAATGCATATTAGAGGGCATCTGGATCTAGATATTAAAAGAATATGCATGGACAACCCAGGAACTGGAACACCTGTGTTCAACAGAATCACCTAATATAAACACTGATCTCTAAGAACCTTCCTAATCTTTCTCTGTGAAAGCTCAAATTTTTCCCTTCAATCACTGTCACTGCGATTCCAAAGCTTTTTAAAATTATATCAAAGTCTACAAAGCTTACCTAATGTCCACCTTTATTCTGTTGAATCAGTAAAACTTACCAAAACACACTATTAAAAAAGGGCCATTATTTGCAGATGGAGAAAGAAATGAACATTACTGTCATGCAGATACTTAGAAACTCAAGTTTCACAACAGATCATATGTAGTGTTGACTGTACACAAAGCAGAATTTGTAGTATGGCTGGTTACATAGAAGAGAAATCTGCAGCTGAAGTGAGCAAGAATCTAAGAGAAGAGCTAGAACTTGTTTTAGTTATTGGCATATTCCTCCTTACCTTCCGCTCACCAAGGGGGAAAAAAACCTCAAGAGTTATGAATTCGAGTGTCCATTTTCCTACCAACCTTTAACATGGCACTACAGCCTTCCCCGAAGAGGCAACGGAATTACACTAGGTCTACAAACTTTCACCGGGAAGCCCAATTCAACAGTGCAATGTAAGAGGGAAGACAAAAGAAGACACAGAGAGTAATCTGCTCCAAAGCTTAATTATCTAATGTCTATGAGCAAGCAGAAGAGGCTAAAGTAAGCAGTGCTGTCAAGCATGATTCAGGAAGTAAAAGTATCTGAAGAATGGAAGTATATAAATACAATTACTGTTCCCATCTCTGTTATATCAACAGTAATTGTATAAGAAACAGGCATTGCTTACTTTCAAATTTATAATTTTACCTCAGTGAGAAATGTATAGGACGCGTTCCTCAGAAGAACAACGTACCATTATTACTTTTTTTTTTTTTTTTTAATTAAGACAGAAGAACATAATTTTTCCTGTAATACCTTTAGGGAAAAAATGGTTAGAAACACACACGCAAAAAATCACAAGAGACAAGACTCCTTTTTACATACATGTTGCATATTTAGAAGTAACAGGCTTCTTTTCTTTCATCTTATTGATGTGAAGATACAATCCTATTTCACAGAAGATTAACCAACAACTGCCATCTAGAAGAGCACTGTGTTTCTGTGCATACATACGGTCCAAACCATTTTAGTTTGTAGCAAGCTAAGTTCAGCAAGACTGAGACAAAAAAAAAAATCAAATAACCAAAACAAGCGGGAAAAAAATTTCTTACTTTTCACATACTGATGTCCTCCTGTAAATGATGTATGCTTACTAACACTTATAAAATAGTTCATTCACAAAATCATGCTGGGAACAGATGAAGCGGGTTCAGCTTATTAATTTTCTTAAAGAAACATAACTTGCAGCAAGGTATCTGGATTCTCATCCAGTCTTAGCTGCCTCAAGAAAAAGGCAGCTTTTCTTAAGAAAAACAACCTAAAAATTTCAACCTCATGCTAAACTACATCTTCCCTATGCCAGTTTTGATTTTAAACACTCTTTTGACTTGCCTCCACCCTTACCACACCTTCTAGTTTTGCTTTCTTCCCATTTCCCCTGAGCTCTACTTATCCTACTTATCCAGAAAAGACAACAGGTTTATCTTCAATACGCAGACAGCAGCTTTCTGTTCTCTCTCTCCCTCTTCAGTTTGTTTTCCTGTTCTTAATTCTAGCTGATGGAAGCTTCCAATGGCTTTCAAGACAGCTCCTAAAAATCTTCTCTCTTATGTTTTACCACAGCAACTTTATTCACAAGCTCCTACGGCAGTCTGTAATTAAATACACTAAAACTTGGACAGTAACTTCTGATTAAGGGCTACAATTACTGAGTGCTATACAAGGATGAACCATACAGAAAGGAAAACATTCTGTCTTGTGGCATTTCGAACATTTTTTTGCAAGTCAGTGACCTCCAGCTGTCACAATACTTACCCTTGGTTTTTCCCAATATCTTTCATGAAAGGCTCTCAAAGCACAAGGGCGTGTTTCATTGCCAGAAATATTTCATAACAGGAAACTTCTGTCTTAAAGGTCTCAACTTTATTTCCCAGTTCTTGAGGATGAATACCCAAATTAGAACATTAAGTAGTCCTATATTTATGACATTAGCGCTCAGATTTAAGTTCCCTGTGCTGAGGTGGTACATAGTTACTTGATTTTTCCATTTCTCTCATTCTTTATGAGGCCACCAAGGAAGCATAAGTTACCATGAATTCAGCAGTAAAAAGTAACAGAACCAGATATAAGAAACTTTAGTAAAAACACACAGAGTCATAATTTAAAGTTAGTACATAAAGATTTGCCAAATCAGGTATCAGAAACAGAATCATATACAATAAATGCAGATTCAATATTATTTAATTCAAAACAGACTTTTGTTAAATGCAAGTAAGTCAAGAGTAAGCAGGTGCACCCAAAGAGCCAGTTCCAAGTCATACTACCTCAACTGATTTAAGCTTAAAAAAAGCAATGCCACGTAAACACATAATATACACAGAAGTTCTGATTTCTTCATGCACTTTATCAAATTCAGAGCATTGGGGAAAAAACTTCACAAGATTTTCAGTTCATATTCAATACAATATCATCTGTGAAGTTAAACATAAATGTTCAATGAATTTGTATTCAAATAAGTTTTTTCTCAAGTCACAAAACAACTCACTTAAACGTCTCAACTCTTCTTTATTGCATGAGCAGTAAGATCTATGCAGGATCACTTGCTCACACACTTACATCAGTCAATTGGATGTAAATTCTTAGTTTTCTTTTTAAAATAGTCCTTGTGTACTGATTGCTAGATTCTCCTTTAGATTTTTACCGCTTATAAGTAACCAGTTTGGTTTTTTTGCTAAGGACCCTTCATTTCTTTCTAAGTACATAACATGAATCCTACTTCACTATTTTTTCCCTTAAATTCTTGGTACAACCGAAGGTTTGAGGAGTTATCTTAAAACACAGAACTTATGTCAATATTCAAACAGCAAGCATCTAATTTTAGCACAAATCAGATAGACCAAAAGGCAAGACAGACCAAGGGAATTGTTTCCTTTCTCCTATTCCCTGTTCTTCAGAAGTGTCCCTGCAAAAGCATGTCATCTCTATTGCTGCAGATTTCCTGGGATATATTTACAGAAAAAATAATCACAGATATTATATTTTCACATCAGAGTCTGAGACCTTAATTGCTCTGAATCATGACTTCCTGAAGTTGAACAGGACTGTCATTTGTTTCAGGATAATCCAACCTCCTGGCCTAGCCAGCAAAAAGTTTGATTAGCTTCCCCTGCAATACTCAGTCATGAACAGCACACGTTGGTCATGCCTGTTAATCTTTTGGTATTGTCTGCAGCATATGAATTGCAGCATGAAACAAAGCTGTCTAAATGGAGAACAAAAAGCAGACCAGAGAATAAACTTTGTGAAATACAGGAACAGCAGACATACACAAAATACAATCAAGCTGTGAGAAAAGAAATGAAACATGAACCTCAGCGACAGACAGAAGGTGACAATGCATAGGGAAGAGCGCAGCAGTCAAACTAGCATGGCACCAAATTTATCTGCTTGCTCTTTGCACCATGAGGACAAGAGCGCTCTGAAAACGTACACCAGATTCTATAGCAAGAACAAGCACACTTTACTGCTGCCTAGTGACAACCCCCGCAAACTAGACGAAAAACAATTCTATATTCCAGGAAAAGATATCAGACTTCCTCAGCTAGAGGAATAATCATCATGATACAGGATTTTGGAAATGATAGGAAAGCAAGAAGAAAACCAAAACGTCTCTGCTTCTAAACAAAGTTTTCCAAGAGTTTGCTCTACTCATTTAGGGAAGACAGAAAACACGAGATGTTCACAACAAATGTAGGAAATGTAAATGAATGGGAGTTTACCAAGTCTAGAAAGTGAGCAAGGGGAGGCAGAAGAACACTGCAGAAGCACAACAGCTTCAATGCAAATTGACACTAATTCAATGGAAATTCTGCTCTTCATCAATTTAACAGCATTTTCAGTCACAAGAAATTAGACAAAAATTCTGCTTCTTTCCATGTTTGAATCATCCATTTGAAAAAATAAAACCACAAACCAAAGAACTACAGGATACTTTCTGCTGACATCATAAATATTACACAAATTCTCTTACCTCAAGTATCAGCCTCTTCCTTGATGCATCAAGCATCAACAAATTTAAAGTTTAAAACCAGGATAACTAGAAGGACAATTGTGAGATTTAGACTCCCTCCCTCCAATTAAAATAGCTACTGGTATCTTTATTTGTATGATCTTTTTGATAAATACAAATTTTGCTTACCTGATGCCGAGTTCATGATGTTCTGCTGCACGGAAGGACTGGTGGGAGCTGTAACATTCATCTGGGAAAGCATGGCCTTCCTAGGATCTTGCCATGTTGTTGTTTGATCAATGTGACTAAGACAAAACAAAGCAAGAGTTAGGACAGTCATGCATTCACAACAATGACCTGCTAGCACAAAAAGTTTAAAAACAAAAGATTAAGCCTGCCAACAACAGCCACATTCAAAACCAAGCAAGAACTGTTTGGATTCTTTCCAAGCATCATGGTATGTCCAATTCTCAAACCCTTACTCTGGCCACCACCACTTTCCCAACAAACAGCTATAGCAATCAGAGCTAGAGCAATGGTGAGATAAGGCTCAACATGACTATCATAATCTAGACTATTGTACCATAACTAGATGTGTACCCTTGAACAAAACATTCTTTTTCTTTTCTCGTTGATTAGTTACTTGTCATTTTTAAATGTGACTTCAGAGTCTTTCAAACCCAGCCAGTTATGTCTGGAATCTCAAGCACAGTCCAGTAACTTGGCATGATGAGTTCATATTCAGTGCCTAGGGAGTTGTAATGAACTGGCTAGCGAGTAATCATTAGTGTTCCCAAACATTCTGTGCATAGACCACATCCTCACATTATTTGATGGATTACTCCCCTCACCACTGTCAATCGAACAATCTCTCTGTGGTAATTTAAGTAACCAGTCACACTAGAGCAGTAATATGAAAATGATGTGCAGCTGCCTTTCAACTTCATGTAAAAAGATGATGACAGCTGGACTGTCAAGTAACTCAACTACCCTTCTGCAGAACCTAATTACAAAACTTTGGGAGCTTAGATTTATCTGTTTTGAAACTGGAAAGTACATTCAGCACTGTCACTCACAAAAGTATTCAATTCAATGAAAATATAAAAGTGTAATGAATGATTACTTCACCTTTTGAGTATGTGATTAGCATGTTTTGCTAGTGAATAACAAATGCAGGCTATTCATAACAAGCATCAACATTATCTTGATGCCATTAAGCAACATTGCTCCAAGACATACATGTGGACAAAAATAAAACTACTAATGCACATTGAGCATTGACAACAAAGCTTGTATCGATTCATTTAGAACTGGTATCAATTAAAACTCATATTCAGATAGTATTGTTATGAATTAGAATCCAACACATCATTAATTTGGTACCTTTTTTCCCTTACATTAATAATTCTTAAAGTTACTTTTTTCTGGATTACATGGAATGCCCATTTTCATTTACTTCAGCAAAAACACAACATTTGAAGCTGCAATATAAATTACGTTGGTGATCTGAGTTCAAAACTAGGTACTCCAACTCATACCTCTTTGTACCCATGTCTTGCATTGTGTTTTGTATGTATGTATCTTGGTGGATCAACGCGTATTTGTACTGAACTATCAATCAGGCTGTAAATTTTCCATCTTTTTGTTGGGATTAAATAATAATTGCACAGCAACTGTTCCCAATTCACAGTTTCTCTTATTTTAAGGCATATAGAATCATAGAATCATAGA